GCAGCAGAAGGCTGAGAGGGGCAGGAGAGGCAAGCAGCAAATTTTGCACTTGACCATCCTGATGGTGTGCCCGTGCCCACTGGCTGCAGTAGGCACCAGAGAGCTGAAGCAATGCATGAAGATTTGCTGGCCTGACTGGTGAGACACAGGCAGACACCGATGCACTGAAGAGCCGTTGCTCCCACTGGAGGACAAGAGGTCCGCAGTGTGGCCCCAGGGCTAGCTGGCGGAGCTTGGTGTGTATTACCAGGAGGCTGACCACATTCCTGGGACTCGGCTTGCCCTTGTGGTTAGTGCTAATAGGAACCAGTTGAGTTGGGTGTTCCTGAAAGTGGCTGGAGATCGCTGCTGGTTTGACCCACAGCTCCCCCCAGTCCCAGTGGTCTGTGGCTGGCTGGCTTATCAGTGGGTGCCAGGAAGGCTTAGACCCAGCTAGTTCTTGCCAGAGCAGTTTGTTCTCCTTTCACAGCTCCTGGGCATTTTCTTTCTTTGCTGCTGAGGGTTCTTGGTGACAGCCAAAGTTGACATTTGCAGTGATGCAGCTTCTGAAAAGCAACACTTTTATCTAGGGTGTTTCAGTTGATCATGAAAAGAAAGCGAGGCAGCAGCAGGACTGATGCTCCTTTTCTGGCAGAGGGTAGGCTGCCTGCTGGGTGTGTATGTGCTTAGTGTTGATTAGAAGTGGAGGAGAGTTGTGCACTCATACAAACTGTGGTGTCTCCCACCTGTGCTTGATGGTGACTTAATGCTGTGCTCTTCCCAGCAAGTGCTGCAGGTGTGCCTCTCTGCTGGAAATGAGCTCTCTTTTTATCAGTTATGTCTCTGGGCTTCAGGCATAAATCAAAAGCAAAACTTTCATGTTTTCCTTTCTGGAAAGGCTGGGACTTTATGTGGGTTAGTAAACTGGGAGCATTTACAGGGCTTCTCCTCCCAGAGGTGGGACAGGACATCTTGTGAAACAGGTGGCATCTGTGTTCTCTGCAGGGCAACTTGTTGGAAGCTGCTAGAGGATGGTGTTGGAGAGACCATGGCATTGTGGCTCCTACTGGGAGCAGTAC